TCGCCACGGGGAAAGGTCAATTGGCCATGGAAAAGATGGGTTCCTACGTCGTCCAAGGCAATACGTTGCAATCCCTGTGCTTGGTGGAGGGAGAAAAGATTGAACCCCATTCCTTCTATATGACGTACTCGGGTAAGCTTCACGCAAAAGTTTCTACCTTCAAGATGAAACCTCACGTTCAAACATCCGATTCCAAGCACTCGCATCGTCCTGCCATCACCGATCTGCACTCTCTCGCTACCAAGGGGCGGGATGATCACATCGTACATGTTCGTGGGGTCTCCGGTGGTGTGGTTAGTTGCGCTGGAGTCTGCAAGCCATTCTTCAACTCCTACATGCTCCGCCCTCACAACCAGTATAGAGTTCATCAAGGCATACCCCTCACCCCCTACGAATCCACTCGAAATCTCACTCTGGTACTTACTTGACATGTCCCTTACAACACACGCATGCAAAGTCCCCTGCCGACGAAGGTGCTCCGGTCGAAGGCGCGGGAGAGGCGTAAGGGGCTGGGACTGGCTGCTGCTGTTGGAGGGGGGGGGATAGGTACTCCGGCTGCTGCTGTTGGGATGGGTATTCGTACACACCGCTCGCGTGCGTCACCGGTTGTTGATAAACACCGGTCACGTGCGTCACTGCATGCCCCCCCGTGGATGGTGCGGACGTCGTCGCCACCGTCGCTCCTGCTGCTCCTGGCTCTACCCCTTCTCCANGGAGCGACGAACCCCTCTCGCCACGGGGAAAGGTCAATTGGCCATGGAAAAGATGGGTTCCTACGTCGTCCAAGGCAATACGTTGCAATCCCTGTGCTTGGTGGAGGGAGAAAAGATTGAACCCCATTCCTTCTATATGACGTACTCGGGTAAGCTTCACGCAAAAGTTTCTACCTTCAAGATGAAACCTCACGTTCAAACATCCGATTCCAAGCACTCGCATCGTCCTGCCATCACCGATCTGCACTCTCTCGCTACCAAGGGGCGGGATGATCACATCGTACATGTTCGTGGGGTCTCCGGTGGTGTGGTTAGTTGCGCTGGAGTCTGCAAGCCATTCTTCAACTCCTACATGCTCCGCCCTCACAACCAGTATAGAGTTCATCAAGGCATACCCCTCACCCCCTACGAATCCACTCGAAATCTCACTCTGGTACTTACTTGACATGTCCCTTACAACACACGCATGCAAAGTTCCCCCTGCCGTCGATGGTGCTCCGGTCGAAGGCGCGGGAGAGGCGTAAGGGGCGGGGACTGGCTGCTGCTGTTGGAAGGGGGGGGATAGGTACTCCGGCTGCTGCTGCTGGGGTGGGTATTCGTACACACCGCTCGCGTGCGTCACCGGTTGTTGATAAACACCGGTCACGTGCGTCACTGCATGCCCCCCCGTGGATGGTGCGGACGTCGTCGCCACCGTCGCTCCTGCTGCTCCTGGCTCTACCCCTTCTCCACCGTACTGCTGCGCGGTGTTGGCCTGCCCGTACGAGTGGGCCCACGGCGGCCGCTGGCTGTAGCCACCGGCCGGTGGCCGGGGCGGTGGGGGCCTTGGCGGCGCGTCGGCGGCCGGCATGCCAGCTGGCCTTCCGACATCAACACGCGAAGGACAAAACAGATGGTTGTGGCCGAGTTCACCGCAGTTCTCACACCGCTTGCGAGGGTCATTCGAGTGGATGGGAGGTTCATTTCCCTGCGGGCGGTACATGTGGGGGGGGTAGGCGCTGTAGTCGTAGCCCCGCTGAGGTACAGGGTAGGCGGGGAGATAGCTGCGGTCCCTGGTGAAAAGGGCCCCTGCCCCTCCCACCGGAAGCGGCGCCACGCCCCCCGAATCTTCCTCCTGCCGGCTGCTGCTGATGACGTCCT